TACTTCCATGGATTAGGGGAATTTTTCTATCGGAACGGTATCAATGATGCCACTGTTGATAACTTCATGGAAATCGATACGAATAGCGAAAGCGCATTACATACTCAAATTTATACACTCAACGATGGTGTCATTGTGCCGATTGGAGGAGGGAAAGATTCCATAGTCACATTGGAACTACTGAAAAAATATTCGCAACCTAAAATTCCCATGATTATCAATCCTCGTCAAGCTACACTTGAGAGTGCTCTAATGGCAGGTTTCTCACGAGCCGACATAGTTGAAATTCAAAGAACATTGGATCCGCAATTGATCAGACTTAATGAACAAGGTTTCTTGAATGGACACACTCCATTTTCAGCCATGCTTGCATTTGTAACCCTCTTGATTTCAGCAGGAACCAGAACCAAACACATAGCTCTGTCAAACGAATCCAGTGCGAATGAGTCAACAATCAAGGATTCAACTGTAAATCATCAATATTCTAAATCAATCGAATTCGAACGAGATTTTCGATTCTATGTCAGTCAATATATTTCAGTAGATTTTAATTATTTCAGCTTCCTGAGACCGTTACAAGAATTAACGATTGCTAAGTTATTTGCTAAAGAGCCCAAATACTTCTCCGTATTTAAAAGTTGCAACGTAGGCAGCAAAAACGATACTTGGTGCTGTCAATGCTCGAAATGTTTATTTACGTTTATTATTCTTTCTCCTTTTATTGTTCCTAAACAGCTAGAAGAAATTTTTGGCGAAAACTTACTAGATAAAGCTGCACTTAAAACAGAATACGAACAATTGATTGGACTACAAAACAGTAAACCATTCGAATGTGTTGGTACCTGCGCCGAAGTAAAAACAGCTTTAAAAATGGCTTTGGCACATTATCCCGATGAACACCCATATTTGCTGAGTTACTTCGCAAGTACTATATTACCTCAGACATCTTCCATTTCCATAGAGCAAAATTTTCTTGGAGAACATTTTCTAACTGAAGACTTCGAGCGTATATTAAAATGCAGTGTTTATTGAAGAAATTATTCGATCATCAGAATATTCTTATCCTTGGTTTTGGACGTGAAGGACAATCAACATATCGTACTATTCGAAAATTTTTACCTGATCGAACAGTGTCTATTGCCGATCGAAATATGAATCTGATCGACAATCAACAATTGGCTAATGATCCAAAAGTCGTGTTGCGATTAGGAGACAATTATCTTGAGGATTTATCGGAATACGATCTGATAATAAAAACTCCCGGAATTTCACTTAAACATCATCCAAAACTTGCTAACGATCCGCGAATTTCTTCTCAAGCAGATCTATTTTTAAGTGTTTTTAGCTCTCAAACCATTGGAATCACTGGAACGAAAGGGAAAAGTACAACAACTTCATTGATTTATCATATTGTTCAAAAATATACAACAAATGTTGTTCTAGTAGGAAACATAGGTATTCCTCCATTTGATATGATAGATCAAATTACGTCAGAAACGCTTATTGTTTATGAGTTATCTTCACATCAATTACAATTTATTCGCCAGGCACCTCGTATAAGCGTGTTGCTGAATATTTTCCAAGAACATTTGGATTATTATTGCTCATACGAGCAGTATCAGCAATCGAAACTGAATATAGTGCGTTTTCAGAATGAAAAGGACTTTGTGATTTATAACGCCGATAATGCTATCATCACTGATTTCCTTGCTGATTTCAAAGACCCTCGAAAGAGAGTTGCTTTGAGTGTTACTCAACAATTGAAAGATGGGTTCTACATAATGAATAATCAGATATTTATAGCTGAACAAGGGCATTCAGTATTGTTTTATGACGCAAATGGTCGTAAGACTCTCATGGGTGATCATAATCTATTCAATATGATGGCAGCAGCTGCAGTTTGTCGAATTCTAACTGTACCGGATGATACTATACAAGAAGGATTTAATGATTTCAAGTCGCTTCCTCATCGACTTGAGTATGTTGGAAATTTTCGGGGCATTCATTTTTACAACGATTCCATTTCAACAATTCCTGAAACTACTATCGCAGCTTTGAAAACGATTCAAAATGTAGATACTCTGATTCTGGGTGGCTTTGATCGTGGAATCGACTACTCTAGCTTAATAGAATTTATTTACCAGCATCCTATTCCAAACTTGATCTTTATTGGATCTGCTGGCAAACGAATGCATGAAGCTTTCGACAAAAACTTACTACCAGAAAATCACCTTTATATAACGAAAACATATGCAGAAGTAGTAGATATCGCTTTCAAAGTTACTCGAGTTGGTAAGACTTGTTTGCTTTCACCAGCTGCCGCTAGTTACGATATGTTTACGAATTTCGAAGAGAGAGGTACCACATTCATACATTTGATTGAGAAAGGCCTGTCAGGATAATCCTTGACAGGGTTAACATGCGGAACTCATAAACAATAGCTCTTCAAACTACAGTGCGTATTTAACATGTGCGTAAACTTCTTTAGAAGCCAACAAGAACTCGTATCGAATGCTCCTCTGTCTGTTTATTGAATACGAATATTTTCGACATGCGTTCATACTATAGGAACTCTGCGTTCGTCTTCAAGTGTTACTATGCTGCTATCATCCAGTTTCTGTTTTCACTTCATTTTTTAATTCCTCATCGTTTTTTGTTTTTACTTCATGTTCATATATTGATTTCACTATTGCTCAGTGCGAAACACGCTTTCTACTTTTCAGTTCTTTCTCTCCAATGATTATAGAGATTCTTCCCGTTTCAGAATGATGTTGAATCATTTTCGCTAAATAACGCAGACTTTTACTCTAAATGTCATACGTTTATATGTACAAGGATAACCTGCTGCTTGTTAGTCTTGTGGTCTATCACAGCATTTATCTGATTTCTTGTTTCCATTATTGAAGATAAAATTTAAAAATTCACATTGAAACTTTTATCAACTATCCTTCAATGTGTCAACGAATATGGAAATAGGCAAGCAGGATAAAATATGAATATGTTGGTTAAGAAGATTATGTGTGAGTAGATGGTATGAATCCTAGCGTGGATGTGAGTGCTATTGTGCGTGTGCGGGTGTCCATATGGATGTAGATTTGAACTATATACGCACATATCCATGCCCACACCGAACTGTGATGATGTGCTGCTAATATATAGGATGAAAAAAATGAAAAATAACAACATATTTAATCATCAAAAGAAAGCAAATAATCAAGTAATCTGACAATTCACTATGAGTTATGACTTTCGAATTAAATTAAGAACTAGATTCTTGAGCCAATCAATAAGAAGAAAGGATACGAATGTTGATCAGTCTGAGATAATCGATCGGCTATCTAGTTTGTCTGTTCAAATTGATAAGCCATAACTAATGTGCTTGACACTTCAGCATTTGTAAACAGAACGGTTGCAGTAGTAGTAACATCAAGATTAATTGTCTCAAATTTGAAGCAGCACCCGTCGATGTAAGATATCAAGCAGAAAGAAAAAATATACATTAATCTAAATGTTTACTGTCACGTCCTCAACATGGCTCTTTCATTAAATTATTTAAGTAAGTTTTACAATATGACTATTTTAATACGATAGAAACTTGCTTTTTAGCCTTAAATATTGATTTCGTCTAATGCCCGAGATTTTTCCCAATCCATCTAATCGATTAAAACGAATAGAGCTGACATTACACGCATAAATTTCATTATTCACTGAAAGAATACTTACTTTCTCCTCGATCAGCAATAATTAGCTTCTATATATCGCAATCATGATATTCATTACAATTATCACAATACGTAGACGTAATTCCTGCAATGCGAAGTCAAATAAAGAATTGCTTTATTCTTTGAACTATTATTGTAAAGGTAGACCCAAAAGCAAGAGAACATCAGTTTTTTTAATTTCCGCTTCATACTTGATACATAATTAGACGTTCTATTTATACTATATAAACTTAATAGTGATATCCAAAAAAGTAATATATTGTCGATCTTTGACTGTACTATTTCGATGTCAAAAGTACAAATATATCTCATATACTTTGATGTGTCTGTAACAGAAGCCTGCTGTTTTCTTGATGCATTTGTTTTTTATTCGTTTATCTGCTCACATTAGAATGCGTACTTATCAAGATTATTTCTACAAAAATCTTGACGAAAACATTGGGATAAATCCAATAATGATAACAAATGATTGTTGTTTTCAAAACCTGAAAACCTTTCTCTATTTCTTTCACCATGTATCGAATGAACACGATTTTTATGTTGCTCGAATCTATTCGACCAACCCCTGACATTTTGTTATTTGTTTTTCAATTTTGATCAGTTCATTGATGAATAGTTGATCTAGTTGAAAAGATATTTCATTACTAAAGAGTCTGTCTAGTTTGTCATTGTATCGTTTCTTTTTATCATCGGTTCAATCGAGTTTGCCATCAACTGTACGAATACATATTGGCGGAGGATATTTTACATTGCGCAATGTGATTAATATCCACCTAGATCACTGATGGGATAACATTCAAGACATTGCTTGTTCACTTAATATCCTCTACTCTTTATGAATCTGATCTGATCTGATCTCATGGCATGGGTTTTGTTTTGAATAGAAGCATAAGCAACGAAAACAAAAATCATATTAGAAAAGAGAAGTCGAAGGGAACTGAATGAATGTTAAAATTTCTCAAGAGATATTTGTTAAAAAACGTTGAAGAAGATGATGAGATATGAAACATCTTTCAAGATGGACATGCTGAAAAGTTTTCTTCTAATCTAAATGGTCTAGAAAACAAAAAAACATCCAGCTGATGATGTGAATGACGTATGTTGTTTTAGCATTTTATAATATTCTTATGTATTCTCAGTTGATAATTATTTATATGATAACTTTTAGTAAACATGATCACCTAGATCGCGATTATTATGTCGAGCACCTTAGATAAAACACGTCATGAATAAATGATAATGTTATGCGTCTCTTAATTTTGAGAAAGATAAATTGTGCTAAAATTCTGGTACAGCTACATTTTCATCCAACATTTTGTTGTAGCATGACGAATTTGGATCCATGAAATGCTTGTGAACTATTAGAATGAAAGTAAAAAAGAAAACAAGATTTTTTTCATTTGATGAAATCAATATTGCACAAGTCAAACTTACTGTCGACGTCGTCAGCTGCACTGCATCGCCAACAAAAATGAATATTACATAATGTACATTTTACAGCATTGCATCCAGCATATTTGTCAATCGGTGTTCGACATTTGGGACAAGGCTTGTGGGATAGTTTTCCTAGATTGTATTCCAATATGGCATCTTCATCTTTTTCCTCGTGTAATTTTTTATATTGTTCGCATGTCATACCAATATGATATTCAACTTTGCATGATATGCAATAGAATTTGATACATTGATCACAAAAATACATTGACGAATATTTTGATGGACGATATACCTGAACAAATAGAATTGATTTATTATTCCAATAATTGCTTCTAATTCAATGAATAGAAAAACGAATCTAACAATGAGAGAATTAATAACAAACTACGCTTTTACTTTGTTTATTGTATCGAATACTGGACGATATCAAATCGTTATAATTTTCATGAAAACAATTCTATGCATAATTAGTGTTGCTAACATAATCATATTATCAGCAATACATTTATTTCTTAGTACAGAAGCAATTTGTTTTAGAGAGGCAACGCAATTTTGAGATACAATATTATAATAGTTTAATTTGCCTTGGTATCGGTTCGAATCCTTTCGTTAAATGATCGAACATTATCTTCAGTATTTATATTTGAAAGCTCATTCGATTTTCCATGATATATATTAATTAGTGTTAGCTGTGTGAATGATATCAAAAATGAAAGAATATAAACTGTTCAGTGTTTCACCGAAAAATCAATTTTTCGAATGATTTCAAACAAGACTTAATGCTCTTGATCAAGAATAACCAGTGGCATATTGAATTTATAGCTATTAATCAGTTTCCATCAAAAATATTTAAAAACTATGGTAGCAGAAAAATCTATATCGGAATCTGATCCAATAGTTTCTCATTTGGGCCTGTTCCTTTAAGACTTTTGATGTATATTTTTTTTAAAAGTAATGAAATGTTCACGTTTCGCATAAACATTTTCATAAAAGGTCTACAAATAGAGAAATCAGAAAATTCGGGCTTCAGTGGCTTCAAATAGCAAGAAAAACTTGAGAAGACAAGCCGAATTTTTCATTGATGCATCTATCAATGAGTTCTATTTAGAAAGAGAATATTTGCTTCAATTTACTAAGTATGACATATTCTATTTATCTAAGACTTATAGAGAACTATATACAATTGCATTGTTTCTTTACTTTTTAATGACTCCAGAAAAACATTGAATCTGTCATACCTGCTTACAATCGATTCCCATACATTGAACTAAATCGTTATCGGCTCGACGAATATAAACTTGAAAAGCAATCATTGCTAGACGAGCCATTCGTTCATAGCCAATGACAGAAGCAATATCACGAATGAGACAAATTTCATCACATTGATAAAATGGGCACGATAATTTAAAAGCTTCAAAACTCAAGGTCACATCAAAGTATGCATCGAAATAAGCAGTCAAACATGCACGACAGAATGTATGTCCACATTGTTCCAATGTATACGGAGAATCGAAATCACAATTGCATATAGAGCATATGTTTTTCATGTTAACTATAATATTTTCTGGCGTAATATCATTTGAACGATTGGAAATGCATGCCAATTTGTCAAGGAATTGTTTTACTTGTTGTTCACATGCAATTACTGCCTCTTGATCACCGCTCACTAAGATAAGACGCTTGATCATATTGATCACAACTTTTATTTTCTTAGTATTCAATTCACGGAGTACACTCGAATTTTGAATACATTGTCGGATGCAATCTTGAAAATAGATAGATCAGATAATTAGACTTCTGTTTCGAGCTTACCTTTTGGAATCGAGATTGAAACAGAATATTCACGTTGTGAAAGTGTCGTTTGAATGAAAGTATCTATCTGTCTATAAACATCTTGACATACTGTATCTTCACCAAAGATACGCAACAATGTCGACTTCCAATTCCACCAAATGTATGTACCAGTATGTTTTTGAAGATCTTGAAGAAAATTTTGTCCTGCTGCATCGAAAAGTACCGTAACCTAAATAATAGAAAAGTTATGTACTACCAATCCATATCAAGACTATTCTTTGCACAAGAAAGATTGTATCATGATCGATATGCTATGAGGAAACAGATGAGGACGAAAACAAAAATTTCATCTGATTATCTGGAAAAATTCTTTCAATACTGCTGATTTATTACTTGCTTTCCTAAAAGATAAATGCTGCATGATGAAAGTATCCAAAAATTTTATTGATAAATAATAGTATCACATTGAAAGTTTGATGTAGAACGTCGAAACCCTTCCCTATCCTTCTATTTAAGGTAATGAGAAATTATTCAAATTTTGAAAAATTTCAATCTTGCACATCATTCTTTTTTAAACAATGAAAACGAGATATTTCTAGTTTTCTTGTGTTGTTATCTACCTAATCAAAACACAGTCAAACGCATTGCATTTTTACCATTTACACTAAATTAGGTATTCTAGATGTCTATAAAATTTATGATAATGAACAGCTTCCAAATCTAGGTTTTGATTTCATCGTGTAGATAGTTAGAAATGAAGAAATGTTTCTTTTTAGTTTTACTTTAGCTTTGGAAAAATTTATTTCTTCAATATTTTTGATTTGAATCATCGAGGAAATATTCCACCGAAACCAATTAAGAATAGATAAATGATGTTGATATTAGAGAAGTATTCAGTGAAATGAATAAAACAGTAAATGAATAATCTACAACTTTGCATATATTCATTTTCATCTTTCTATACAATATATTTTTTTGAAATCAAATATTTTCTTACTTATTCAATAGTTGAATAGGAAATATTTGACGAGAGAGATGTCACAAATATTTCAAATATTATGAAAACTTAGTAAATTTTCTTTTGCATATTGTTGTCCAGTAAAAGAATAAATTCAAAAAGCTATGAATCGTTTGTTCATAACATCAACTACCCAACTAAGTTTATGGCAGAGAATTCTTTTTGAAATTATGTGCTGCATAATACTTAGTGTACCTGATAAGAAAGAAAGAAAGAAAGAAAGAAAGAAATGAAATGTTTTCGTTTTTTTCATAAATTCGACTTCAGTATTGAATAATTTTTTTTTTCAAAGTTCTCAATAGATCCAATCAATCACAAACTCACCCATGAATGATTGTAAAGTTGAAATTGTAGGCCTTTCAATAAACTATCGAAAAGTATACGTGCTTTGTAAAGCTGTTGAATATTTGTTCCTCGAATCGAAATAAGAACATTGGTATTATCATCTCTCATAACAGTCTTTTTGAATACTGATATGTTGGTAAAATTATGACTAGTTTGGATAGTATTCATAGTTTGTTCAATTTTTTTATCGATGACTTGTGCAAGTGCTTGATTAACCATGATTCTATGCACAATGATTGGAACAAAATAAAGTTGATTTAATCCAACATTGTTCATAGTAAAATTATCTAATGAATCACACATGTTAATCGCCGTCATAATATCTCGTGGATCGTTGAAACGAATGTATGCAACAGCACGGCCATCTTCGGTCGGTGAACGGATTTCAATACCTGGCTCCGACAGAAAAAGATTCCGAGAGGTAAAAAGCGATTTGAGTTTGATGAAAGTCTTCTTATTGTCGTCAGCCATTGTTCCAGACCGATCCAACAAATAATCTGCTGGCAATTTCTTACGGAACACAGTTGCATACGTTATAGAATTGCTAATATTATACTGATTGAGTTCTCGAATGAGTAATCTTTCGTCGATATGAGATGGTAATTGATAAAGTTTGACACGAAATTCATCTTGTTTGTTGTCATTTGTTTTTCTTCTTATGTTTGTCTGTCGTTGTTGTTGAACGACGGATAATCTTAATAAACCAGCACCGACCGAAGTCTGCCTATCGTTAATTTCATCGACAGCTTCTCGCATTTCTTGTTCATCAGTAAATTGGACATAGGCTACTACACGACCATCATGTTGATATGGTTCAATAAAAACTGATTCACGCTGAAACGATGAATACTTGTCGAACAACTGATAAACAGTATCTTCAGTCCCGATTGGTGTCATTCTTAACATACTGGTACGAGTTCTTAGCAATATAACATGAGTACAAGCAATGAAAATTGTTTTTAAATTGACTTCATCTAGATTTGAAGGAATGTTTCGAACGTATATGGAATTATTTGACCTTCGACTTCGTTGTAATCGGAACGGATATTGATATGCAGCTTCTAGTGCCTAAATATCGTAATATCTAGATGGTCGATATTCATAATATTGGTTTTTAACTAGTCAATTAGAATATAACTTAGTTTCTCATCTCTACAAAACCTGTCATTACGAAGAAAATTCTTTATTCTGTGAAAGTCTTATCATAAGAAGATAATATACAAAGCAACTGATTTCGAAGTCATGAACATTTTCTATTGTGAAAGTACATTTTAGATAAAGTTATAGAAACACTCGACAATCACTTAATTGAATGTACCAGCAAGTTTTTTTTTCATATCACTCGCGTCAATGATTTCACATGTTAATAAATGAAAGTACTTTCATATGAACCTGTTAAAATTTGTTTATATCAAAGAGAAACATTTTTCGTAGGAAAATAATGGTGTAGCTGACCTCTTGAGCTTGTTCAACTGTTGAAAAATTGACAATAGCGTGACCATGATGCGGTTTCAATGGCCAAGAACATTTAACCATTGGATTGATGGGATTTATTTCAAATTGACAACGAAAATGGCATCGATCTGTAAACACTTGATAAGCTCGTTGTGCTTCTTGAAGTTTATTAAATGTTACGCGTCCATTACATTCAGACTCAGTCATAAACCATTCAGCTTTCAACTTGTAATTCTGCTTGTTAGTATCGACTGATGTACGCGTATAACTAGGGCTTGCATATATTTGACAGCCATTCCATTTTTCACATGATAATTGAGTAACCGCTAGTCGAGCACTGCGGCATATGCCATAGGTAACAGAAGCCGAGATGCTATTATAGTTTGTTCGAATCATGGTCACATTTCGAACTGTAATATCAAATTAAAAAGAAATTTAAAAAAAACGAATTCCAGAAAGGTATCCACCGATGAATGGAATGAAAAATAAAATGATATTTAACATAGGAAAGAGTTTTTCTTCAAGAACATCTACTCTTTTCTGAGGTTTCTAAAGAAGAATTTATAATCAGTATACATAGATTTTACTTAGTAGATCGAAATGCGTAGTAGGCTTAGGTTTACATAGTTTGTCATTCTACGATTGATCACAGTCACAATCACTTAAAATGAACTCAATTTTGTCTTTATTTTTCAATAAAGTACGTTCGATCGAACTCAAAAGTCTTTTTTTTTTAATAGACAGCGAAGTTTTTCTGCGAAGCATCTTTCAAGTCGATTTTAATAATAATAAACCAACTAAAATCTAAAACATGTGTTAATATGATATTCTGTATGTAATACACCATATTAGTTTAAGTGATGAAAAAAGATCAATTTTGAAAAATTTGATGATTGACAGTCAAGAAAGTGAAGAGGCTCTTAAATGACAACTAGATTCAATTGAATCTTTGCCTACAAAAACATGTTGCAAATGACTAATTTAGTTGGATTATTGAAGAAAATCGTGCGAATATACAAATTTCTTTCAGTCTACCTTGTCCGTATAATTCACACTTTTCCTGAATTTGTTTTTCAGTGATATTTTTTGGTAAATTTTTGAGAAAGATCTTGATGTATTCATCCTCTACCAATACTAATCGAGGTTCAGCACCAGCTCCGAGTAATATTCTAGTCGAACCAACAATTTGGAATTCTTGCAATTCGTTACGTAACTTGTCTCGTTCTTTATTCAAAATTTGTTGAAGACATTGTTGGGCATTGGAGAGTTTTTCTGGATGTCCCCAGACGATAAGTTTCGACTGTGCACGATCAACTTCAAACAAGACATGCAATTGCTCTTCAAGTTGTGGCACTTTTTTACATTTTTTTCCAACAAGTGCAAGTAATAATGCCGGACCAAGATTTATGAACGTATAACTATCAAATACACATCGTGAAGGTGAACGTGGTAATGAATCCAACCATGATTTATTAAGCCAATCGAGCTCAACCGGACAGATTACAGTTAGATAATTTGTCTCGTTAATATTGATTATTTCATGATAGAGTATAAACTTGGGCGGCTGTTGAGCAAAGGTAATTACCGATGATCGATGTATGTGCGCAACTGTATCTGTTGTACCAGTAGCTAGTTGATATCCAGCACGAATTGGTCCATTTGAAATGGCCAAATTTTGAAAAAAACCAGCACATACACAGCGTACAATTCGTTCGATCAACTCATCGTTCAATTCAGTCAAATGAACTTGAAATTTAGGATCTATTTGATATACTAATTCTCTAATGAGACTGTTCGCCATCGTCATTGACTTCCATCGTATCATATGCTTAAGGCACCAAGCTTTTCTACGTTCTTTCCTTTCGCCAATTGCATGCCATTCGAGAAATATGCGCAAAAGAGCGATGAAATCACCACCCATGTCTGTATCTCGAGTGAATGAAGCTCGTATCTCATTACTCATATGTTTTGATTCATCATTTTCACCACGCCACCAGATATTCTGTACTACGCTTAGCATACCAACAAGAGCAAGTATATGACTAAGACAGTTGAGCTTTTGTCCCATCAAAATCATAACTGAAAGCATAGGTTCAAGGCCGAATTTAGCCATACTACGACCTAAATCAGTCAATTTTCCAGTGTTTGAATCGATTGCACCCAGCCATGTTAAACTTTTAACAGTTTCTTGAAGACTGTTATTCGAAGGTGATTCTAACCAATCGAACTTTGTAATATCATCGACTATATCAAGATGTTTTAGTTTCAGCACAGCTATGCTCGGCTGAATACAAAGAATTTCTGCACGCGAACAAACTTCTAGTGATTGATAAGTATCATATGTGTAAAGATGATAACACTAAAAAGAAAGGGAAACAATACACGTTTCGTATCATTGTTTCGATAAACTAACTCTGAACAATTACTTTTATAAGATATTTTATTAGAGAAATTTCTGCAAAACTTACGATGAGTTTAAAATAGATATTTCTTTTCCTTACTTTTTTACATTGGCTCAGTTTTAAATCACAAATTATTAGTATGCAATTTTTTTCAAGGCAAACTTTAATGGGCTACAACACATTTTTTTTCTTAGAAAAATTATCAATTACACAAACGAACTACGTATACAAACATTCATTTTACTTTTTTGTTTGTTCAGATGCTGTTTTACTTAGTGATTTGAAGCATAGTTCACTTTTAGCCTGAGAGATATTTTTCTTAAGTCAATGATTCAATTTCAATAAATCAGAGATTTTTTTGTGTACCATTAAGTGAAACAGTTAGTAGAACTAGTTGCTATACTATAATTTACCGTTCCCGATGACGTTCGTCCAGCTCTTCCACGACGTTGTTTTATTGAACTTTGCGTTGTATACCCAATTTTGAGTACTCGTATATGTCGTCTAGTATCCCACATGACTTCTTTAACCATACCCGAATCTATGACATGTTGAATGCCATCAATGGTTATTGATGTTTCAGCCACATTGGTTGAAAAGATAATCTTGCGTTGTGTTTTGCTATTCTTGGTCATAAATACGGCTTGTACTTCATCTTCATTTAATTTACCGTGCAATGGTAAAACAAGAACCGATTCTGAAGAGTCAAGTTTTCTCGTAACTTTATCGATAGCTTGATTGATCTCATCCTGACCGGTAAGAAAAACAAGTATGTCACCAGGAATACCATTAGTATGAATTTCTAAAACTTTGTTTACTGCTTCGTCAACATGATTTTCAGCATCTTCCATAGCATAAATATCTTTGATAGGAAATGCTCGACCAGAAACTTCAATTACACATGCATTTTGGTAATATTTACTTAACAGTTTATCATCCAGTGTTGCTGACATGACGATTAACTAGAAAATTAATACTGAAAAGTGATATCTATATATACTTTATAGGTAGTAGTAAAGTTTTTGAAAAACATGCTTAATTTTGAGCAAAATGTCTACATTGTTTGAATGCTAACCGTCTATTGACCACAAGATCAATCGTCTTCCACTTCTGCATATAAGATCGTCACTCTACTACTGCAATCCTTCTATCAAATGAAGACTTCTGTCCATACTATCTGACGCAATATTGCAAGAGCAAAAAAATAAGATCTATCTCACATAGATATAGTTATCGCCGAGTTCACATAATCACATCTAACAATAATATTGCGATCGGTCAATTACTTCTAATATAAAGCGAGAAAACTATGAAAGAAGTTAGCTAGGAAATACTAGAAAACTTAAATCGAGGTGTGTCTCAATGAACTAACTAACAGTAACTTCATCAACTAGATTCAAATAGACATTTTTTTTTACTCGTATGACTTCTATATTAAGTGAAGAGCATAAGAAGAAGCAAGTACAACAGATAATAGATCATATGAACGACATATGAAATCGGATGATATTTTTCGATGAAATCTATTTTCAAATTTTAAAGAAAACGATTTGTCATCTGGTCAAAAACATCAAGCGTGTGGATAGAAGAAGCTTCAAGAATAGGTAGAAGATCATATTCTAGGATACTTGTAACATGACTGGACATATTTCATGATATTTTTTCAAAACAAATAATCGAGAATTTTTACTATTGTTAGACCTTCAAGATTCTTAGTAATGAAATTTTGGAATAAGAAACTATTCTTGATTGATCTATCAAGAAAATGAATACTTCAACATCAGCGAAATGAACAAATTTTTCTCCCAGTGATCGGTACAAAAGTAACAGAATAACTCGAAATGGTATAATTGAATGAAGAGAAATGTTTGATACTTATTAAATTAAGAGTAGAAGCACGAAATATAGGCTATTATAGTATAATACAAATTTTAATAATACATCACTTATTGTCACCCATTATGTCTACAATTGTATATCAATATGGTTCACTCAACATAGACATTCAATTTAGACTTATAAGATGAAATGCTTCAATCTTACTAGTCATCTTTCAAATTAACATTCATAATAGAACTCCACATCAAAATTTCTCTGTTTTTCTCTCGGAAGACTATTGCAACTAGAGAAATACTATTATTAAGTATTTCTATTCATCATCGGAAGAATGTGTTAGTTTGAAATCCAACACGAAATTTCATGTTCTAGAATATTGTAATTCAACACTGTAACTTACCTTGATATCAGGACGCTTGCTTAAGCACAATTTCATGGCACCAAAGAGTAGATCAGTATCAACATGTCTTTCATGCGCTTCATCAATGATAACTATAGCATAAGTGCGTAACATTGGATCCATTTGGTACTCGTTCAATAAAACGGCATCGGTAACAAAACGAATTCGAGTTCGGTGTGACACTTTTGGGCGACAAGCACCGACATGACAACCGACCTAGAAGATTTGAAGAATTTTAAATATTTTGTACAAATAATATTCTTTATTCTAATAAATTTCATATTGGCGCTGAAAAGTATTTACACTAAAAATTCAACACCGAATTACCATTTAATATTTACCTCTCGGGTGAAAAAGAAAGGTTTGGTTAGTCGAGCATGTTAATAAGTCCCATACATTGCTAAAAAGAGATGCGATTTCTTTTCTCAATTCATTGCCTAAGACGACTGTTCATAGAGAAGATGTGTGGTTCACGTACTGAAAATGGATAATCTGTTTTCAAGAATCTATCTATATTGGTTATTTTAGATTGACGCCTTTCTAGACTATTTGTTTCACTACTGTCTATTGAATGTATGATATGATTCGTCTTTGATATAATGTGTAATGTATCGTCAAAGAATTGTACTCCCATTGCGGTCCGCAGGAGCCACTTTTTAACTTGCTATCCATTATTGTCTTATTACACGTCATACATTAGTATTCACTCAGTTTTTCTTCACAAATATCTTACCTCTTCACCCACTTGACAACCGAATTCTTTGGCGACACGCAAGGCCAATTCGCGTGCAGCCAAACGTCGTGGTTGAGTACACACAATTTGTCCTAATCAGATAATTATGACATTTAATTTATAAATTAGCAAGTAGTTCGAGCAAACAAACCATGATCTGCAAATCCAGCATCGGTCAAATATTGAATTAGTTGACTACTTTTACCTGATCCCGTATCTGCCTTAAGAATAATTACTCGATTGGATTTGATTGTATCAATCAATTGTTGACGTCGTGCATAGATAGGTAAACGAGCTTTGAGACGTCCAATTTCTCGTTTCAACCTGTTTAAAAGATAATGAGCTTCTTCCAACGTCAATGGATTAAAAGTGGATAGATTGAATATTGTTTGTTCGAATATTTCAAACTGATCTTTCAACTCTTGAAGATTTCCCTCTTTTTGAAGTTTTATATCGTCATCATCATCCAGATCTTCAAGCAATCTTTGTTGTTCGACAATAAGTGATTGATGTTGTTTGGATATTTCTGATATATTATCCTATACAGAAAAGATTACAAATTAAAAACAGAGCTAATGATCGAATTGATACGAAATTGATTTCAACTTTTGTCGATGTAGACATTCATACATACACGAAGTAGAACTTGAATTTCATCTTTCATTTGTTGCAACCAAGTTGACGACATTGATCGATAATGATTACAATCATTCTCGTTTGTGGATCGTGATTCTGAGTCTCTGACTTTACAATTTCTAGATTGTTTTTGCCACGGGTTGTTCAATGTGTGCACTTCATTGGGTGGTTGATGGTATTGAATCCCAACATTATAGAAATAGGATTGTTGATTGTTCGAATCAAAGCTATCGTTGTGTACTATTGAATGAAAACTAGAAGAAAGAGATAGTTGACTTTGTGTATAGGAAAGATTTTGATTGGTAGAATATTGCCAGGGTAACGGTTGTAAATTAGCTTGCTGACTTTCATAGTCAAGTTGAAAATTATTATAAGAATCAATTGGCCATTGTACACTGTCATAATCTGGTTCAGTTGAAGAAAAATTAAACGCCTTGCACTCGTGTTCGTTTTTTGGATGTAAGTATCGACAAGTTGCACGTCGTTTACATGTTGCTCCGAATTTGCAACGTTCTCTGGAATTTGTTGCCATAGCCATCATGCAAATGATAAGTTAGAAAAAAGAAAACGTGTTTGTCAGTGTCTTTTATGCAATAGCTGAATAAGGAATGGAAAGAACCAAAAACAAACAGAACGGAAAAGAATAATGGTCGATGATTCATTTATTTGTTTCCAATTTACAAATTTTCTTCCGACCCTACAATGACACAGAGAGAGAAAGAAAGCCGTACTGCTTTTGATTGGAGGTTCGTGATGGGAATAATTGTATGGATTAGAAATGTACAGGATCAACTTTTTCGTACCCTGTACCCAGACTGGAAAAAATTTTCTGAGTCTTACCATACTCGACTTTATCTTGCAGGGTAGAGTAACTTGCACATCACGAGCATGGATATTGCAATATGTGTTGATGCCATCAAAAATGTCCGGATTGACTCCAGTTCTTAGATGAATTTTCTTATTATAGATGGCGCTTTTTTATTATTAAAATATATTCTGAAACTTTTTTCTCCGAAGAATATGAACTATTTCTAATAATGAATTCGAATATCGACAGAAAACATTTTCTACAGCCGTTTGTAGTGGAAATAATCGAAAGTTGTAAGCGCTACTGCTGATGAATCATCAATCCACCGGCGATACTATGAAAAAGCGTGCGGCATGGGTCTCCTATTTCGAGAGGGTCTGGTGTGGAGTTCGATGTGGGTACAGATGAAGAGAATAAGCACACCTACATCTAGATCCCGCACCTACACCCAGAAAAAAAAGAGAAGAACGAAAACGAAAAGCTGAGAGAAAAAGATATACATGCTGAAAAACCGAATTGATTCATGATAGTGTTGTGAATAAAATGTAAATAATCTTGGTTAACGTGAGTATTGACGCTCTATCTCCATTGTAATCGTATCATCTATAGCAATGTTTGGTAGCTAAATTGCTATAAATTGCAATACATCACATCATTCTTAATTGAACTGGCAAGAGGAATACGTCATATTAATTAAGAATGATATGATGTATAGTAATTTAGCTACCAAACAATTCTATAGATGATACGGTTACAATTAAGATAGAGTATCAATTCTTACGTTAACCAAGATTATTTACATATTATTCACTATTCTATCGTTACTCAATTCAATTTTTCGGCATATATATCTTTTTTCTATGAACTTTTCGTTTTCGCCCTTCTCTTTTTTTGTCATTTCACTTTTTCTTATGGCATAATCGTTTCAAACTACTATGTACGCGTTGAGAGTGGGATATACTGAGGAGGAAGATAACTATATTTGTTCCACCTTCGCAAAGACTCCATATCCAACTACAGATCGTTACAACAAGATAGCGAAGGAAATGGACAAGTCTATTAAGACGTTGAAAGTAGGAAAAAGTTGTAGTCTTAGCATTTTTCTAATGTTCATCTATCTTCTCAGAGCAAACTCTGCAGATGGCAGCAAAAGGCACAGCGTGAAGAACAGTCTACTCGGCATTCAAGCTCCTCGTCTACGATCAACAACATGACGCCTATGATGGGATCATTGGCGAACATTTCCCTGAATTTCATTAGTACGGAGGAGGCTGCAACTTTCAAGGCTCAGATAGTTGCGTCTCCACCATATTCGCGCTTGATCAACGATGACATCCTAAGGTAGGGTCATCTATCTACATTGACAGGCATCGGACCTCATCTAGGTGAGCAATGGCGGGCTATTCGTTTTCTGTATTTGCCTTTATATATTGTGAAATAGGTGCATTCTTCAGCAAATGGATGACTTGTCTCAACACACCTGAGAATTTGATGACTCCTTCAGGCTCCCAGAATAACATAGAATTTTTTTGTGATGGCGCTGCGTGAAATTCAATTCAAGAACAAATCGATGTATTCTGAAAGTCTCACCGTATTGATCACATATGTGTAGCAACGGAGCAAGTGGTTCTACCGTCCAAATTGCTATCACTTTCAGTACTTTCTACCGCATCAGATTCGCTACAGAGTAAGTGTAATAGTATCTATTTGACACTGTCATTGTCTCTGTTCATTGTAGCTTCGCATATATGCGACACCAGAAGGTGTCTGACCGCCAAGTATCTTATTGTGGAATTAGTGCGTGCAAATATTGACCACTCTTTGCGTCAAGGGTTGATGCTAATTTTATGACCCGGAACACCAATATACATCCTCGGTGCAAAGCCATGCCGTCACGGAGTACAATATCAAGATGCGAAAGGTGATCATCTTCGATACAGTTGTCGAAAAATTAGAGTTGTACTACAAAGCGTCGAAGCACTAGCTTATTTTGATAGTAAACCATAAGATATGAGAACCATTTTTTCTATTGTAATTAATACTATTCAAAACTAAAATAATGTAATTTATCTTCTTGGTTTTGTTTCAGTTACTTGTAGCTGAATTTGGAAGATGACATCGCTTGATTCATGTTCATAATTATTCTCTCACTTTCATAAGGAATTTTCAGTTTAACACTAGAAACGATTGTTGTTTCAATCGAATATCGATCACCGTCACATAAAACATTTTGATTTTAAAGAGAACAGTAAAAATAGCGGATACTTCTGGAATGTGGAAGCAATATAATCAGTGGAATTTTTCGACTTTGGCTGTTTCTTCGAAGGTCACTTCGCCTTCGCGTTGCTCATAAGAATCAAATGGATTCAGTTGGCTCAGAAAATCATTAGATGTGTCTTGGGTAAATGCTTCTTATTCGGTGTAGGTTGTGCACTTTTGAATTCCATCTATTCGAAACTGTCGTTTCTGTTCTATTATCAATACAGCCTGTCATAAGAAAATGTTGTCCAATGCAGCAAGTCAAAGTTCTTTTCTACGCTTAGAAAAGAACCAAATTCTAATGGATTCATTGTGCATTTTATCGAAAGACTGACTATAGATTTACTCTCATAGTTTCTTATGGTATATAAATACTTTTGTTAAATAATTTTCACAATGTTAATCAGTAATTTGTAGAAATTTGCTTAAATATTTCCATCGCGAATGAAGCAAATGTGTATTCGTGGTGAGATCAGCAAGAATAATGTTTGATATCATTCAAATTAGATATAAATCGATTGAATTTCTAAAGTCTAGTTTATGTATTATGTTAATATTTCTGTATCTTATTTTTCTTCTTTGTTCTAAATTATTCGTCAGTCAATTTCCTATTTTGATCTCCTGAGAAGCTGTGTTGACAGGCATCTATTCAACAATAACATACCTTTCAAAATCTACATATTATATCTAGAACTCTTATTCCTGCTTAATTATTTATGTGAGGGAGAAAATTTAAATTTTATAGCACTATTATTCAAACGAGACACGAATAATAAAATTTTTCTAAACCTGTCTAATGACAAATGACTTGTCTTGCCAAATTTGGCAACTTCTTCGACGGAGGTTTAGAGAACTCAAAATGATATATTTTAAAGAATGATCACTGTACAATATGATTTAATATAAATGTTAACCATTTCCTAATATAAACATCATCAATCGATGGAAATGTAAGCTGAGACATAGTATTAGACGAGGACTTTGTCAATGACATTCGTTCGAATGGGTTGTTCTTGAAAAATTCTAGAATTGATTCGAATGGACGCTTTGCTGTTGATTGTGATATTAACTTGACTTTCCATTCGTCGTAAGAAACACTGACAAGTGTAATTCCACAATTTTGGATGTTTTCAATTATATTTTGGAATGCTATTCCTTCGTTTGATTGAACAATATGATACGTTTTACCATAAATAGGTGGTTGAAGACGACTCAAAGATACAATACTTTGAGCAGCTAAATTAGCTGGTAAACCATTTAGTTTAATATGAAAGGCTGTCGTTGGATAGCAGCCTGTTTTCATGACGGCTGCCAATAACAATGTGTTAATATCATTGTGATTACAAGCACCAGTTTCTGTATTTCCCCAAATCGATCCAAGCCGATAGATGTTAACTGGTAGACCTAAACGGCTGGCTTTTGCGATGAGCTTCTCTGCCACCCATTTACTTTGTGCATAACCGCTTCTCAAATGATTAGGAGAAATTTCATCAATAGGTGCTTCGTGTATCATTTCTGAAGGTAGTACACTAATTGTTGATATGTAATGCACTGGTATACATGTAGTAGCATGAGTCGCAAGACGGATCACCTCAAGAGTGCCGGAAACATTCGAGCTGTAGAGTTTATTGTAAGGAAGTACAAAATTAACGGCAGCTCCACAATGAAAAATAGTATCTATTTGATTAGCCAATACCGAATAAGTTTCATTATCGAGTCCGAAATGTTTCTGAGCAAGATCGCCACGCAATGCGACAATACGATCTCGGAATTCCTCATTCCACAATTGAAGAAATATCATATTTTCTTGAATACGATCTAACGGATTTGTCGACACTTGACATCGGACAAGGCAAATGAATTTGCACTCGGACGGATACACTTTCAATAATTCAGCTAGTAAGAAAGCACCTACGAATCCGGTGGTTCCCGTAATAAAAATCGTTGAAGACGACATGCTTCCATTTTTCTTTTCATCAATCTTTATATTCAATTCTTGTATGGAATCGTTCAATACTTGAGATATAATCGAGTCCGGAAACGATAAGATTTGTGACGGATTTTCAATTATATTTGCTAGATTGTCTAAGGTCATATTGGATTCGAAAAGTATATTGAATGGTACAGGTACACCTAGATCATCGTATATCATACGAGAAAGACGCACAGCAGCCAATGAATCACCACCGATTGATAGAAAATTTGTTGCTTGATCTACTGTCAATTGATGCCCTGTTGCTCTTTCGATCATACTTTTTAAACGATTTTCTATTGATTCGACAGGTTTCAGTCGATCGGCATAATGAGCAGCCAATCGATAACGACAAAGCTTCATTGATGATGTGAGTAAGCCATTTTCAGGTGTAAAAGGTTCAAAATCAATGATTAATCTCGATGGAATTTCATGTTTTCGAAGTGATTCTTTAGTAGCTAACGAATGTAGATCTTGCATGATGGCATCATAAAATAATTTA